AGCTTTGTTTGAGTCGCAACGTAACGTAACCGTAGCTCGCAACAAGTAGCGATATTTACTTTTATTTGGAAGGAAGATTTTCTTCTTTACGAAGTGTCCGCTTTAAAAGTTAGAATAAATATGAATAATACGAAAAGTGGAAAAAGGGAGAGAGACAGGGGTCAACACATCCAAGTATTCGCACGTGTCAGGTGAGTAACAAGTGTTTTATCGAAACTTTATACAAGAATTTAAGAACTCTTTATTCGTATAATGTTCCATTTACTGTGCTTGTGTGTCGTGTAATATTCTACACAGTCACTCTGCTTTTAATCTTTGTCGTTCCATTTGCTTCTATCAATGGTTATAAAAAATTTGGAAGGAAACAGTAAATCTCAGACAGTTTTCAAAATATTTTATTCCTATTTACGTTTTACATATTTCTGAGTATTGTAAATAGTAAACAAATACAAATGATTTGAAATGGAACATTGAATTGAAGCAAATTCACAAATGTGTACATATGCTTCAAAATATTCTACGTTGTGACTTGGTCAACTTCTCAATCTGTATTACTTTTCTTGTCTTCGTCAGACCTATAAATGATTTGGAGAAGAACAATAAGTGCAAGAATATAATAGAAATTCCAAATGACAAAGAACTGGTAGTTCATGAACGTCTTCACGATAAGTTTTCAAAAAAGTTCAAATTCGATCATGTATTTGGGCCCTCATCAAAACAGGTATGACATTTAAGTCTTCTTTATATATTTATGAATATTTCACGTTTAGTTCTTCTCTATCTACTTGTAAATCAATATTCGAGGATACTGTATTAATGTTTCATTTATAGATTGAGCTGTACAATATTGTTATTAGCCCTTTGGTGGAACAAATATTGGCTGGATATAATTGCACGGTATTGGCATATGGTCAAACGGGTACTGGCAAGACATTCACGATGGAGGGAGACTCCGATTTTAGTAGTACATTAAATTGGCAAGCTGTAAGTCAATGATATAAAATCATAGTTGTTACAGTAATATATAAACTGCTTATTGTATGCATTTATAAGAAAACTAAGTATGTAAAGAAGTATAAATACTGCATGTAATGTAGGAAACAATAGAAAATATCGAAAGTAGACTGCACATTACAATATTTAAATGATAAAAACAACTATTATTTAGAACAATAAATGTAGTAGATTTTCCAATTTCTGTTCATGTTATAATCTCNATTTCAAACAAAATAAGTCAATGAAAAAATACATTTCAGATAAACATTTCTAGAAATGGCAATATTAACTCAACTTTGATAGATGTTTCACTTTGTATGAAAATGTATTTAAAATATTAATGTTGAATCTTATAATTAATATAGCGCAAGATATAGCTGAAGACAAATATAATATAATGATTGCAGCCGTTCGCACACAGTATTCTCAATTACGGTTCACATGAAGGAGAGCACAATTGAAGGAGACGACGTGTTGAAGACGGGAAAACTGAACTTGGTGGATTTGGCAGGCAGCGAGAACGTCGGGAGATCGGGTGCTGTCGACAGAAGGGCGAAGGAAGCTGGTAGTATTAATCAGTCGCTGTTAACTCTGAGTAGAGTTATAACAGCCCTTGTGGAAAGAACACCTCATATTCCTTACAGGTGTAACAAATACCCATTTAATCTACATTGACTACTACGTATATTTATAAACCCCTTGCTGTATTTTAACGAGCCTGACGCATGATCAGAATTTTGTACCAAACGTGATTATAATTTCATGCCGAACGTGGATATCACGAGTCATACTCGTGGTCATAATCTCATGAGTAACGAGAGTGTGCAAAGTTTGCTGTAAGCATAAAGAGCAGCGAGACACGACCTAGGAATGCGACATTATTTGCTTTTCTTCGCTCATTAACTACTAATATTAAAGCTTCCTGTATTCGTTCAAACTTCGTTTTCTTAGTACATTATAATTAGATAGCGAGTTTTTTTTATGCAAAAGAAAGCATTTATGATATCAATTTAAGAAATGGTCTAGGTAGGAACTTGTTTAATCCTTTAAAAATAGTAATATGCATTTGACTTTTGATTTTGTATCATGAATTTTATTATAGACACATTTTCTACGTTTTCTACCGATATCATTTTTCTATAAATGCAGCAGAACCCGCCGTCTATTTATAATCTTATTATATTCGTACATTGTTGCTGCTGAAGCTTCATGCATATAATATCCTTAGATCTCCAAAAAATATGTTTTAAAATTTTATCAGATTGTAATTACTTCATGATTGCATATATCTTCCGCGAAGCTAAATTTTGTGAGATCCTGTGTCACTGTTCAAACAGTCGCTGATGGTTCAAATGTATAATATAACCAGAAACCTCGGTCTTTCAACGGAGAATGTTGACATCGTCTAATTTTGGTCTTTCACGGTAACACCTGTATTGTTAGGATTTAATTTTCTGATTCACTTAAAAGTAGTGTACCTATTATATCTAAGGGTAATGTCTCAAAGGGTCGTTCTCAGGTGTTTCGTTGGTGACCACAAGGGTTGTTTCATCAAATTCACATTAATTTTATTTATCTGACACGACGTGTAAGATGAAATATCATAATTCCTAATATCATTTTTCATGGAGTCCCAATAACATCGCATCTTGATTTTAGAATACGTTTTATTAAATCTGTAGTGATAGCAGAGTCAATCGATTTTAATGAAACTTTTTACATGCATGTAATTTATTTAGATCTACAAGAAGTGTGTTTTAAATTTTTATTAGAGAGCCGAGCGAAAAATTTAAAAATTGTGTCCTTTACTTTTTTCCATAAATCCGTAGTACCTATTACGTAGTAAACTAATGTCTCCACTATCTAAAAGGAAATCAATTCGGACTAATATTAAAAAAGTT